TTGAAAAATTTCATCTTCGAAGAGGAAAGTTGTTTTTTAAAAAGTTCTTCAAGTTTTCACGTAAAGCCCTTGTTTTTATATTTCTTTCAGGAATGCTTTCGATATAAATTGGAGTTTGTGGTTGTGGAAACTGAACTTCGTTCTGCACATTCGGATACCAAGAATCAAGAAAGGGCTGTTTCTCTTTTTCCGCAAAGTTATGCAATATCGTACACGCCAAAACAATAAAAGGAACAAATCCTGGATCAACGTCCATTCTTCTCAAGAGACATCGCCACCGACATTTTAATCTGACAAATCCATTTTCCCCAACTATACGCCCGGAACTGATGTAACAGTTGAATGATTCCTCTTCGGGGTCTAAACTACCAGTGTAAGGTTTCATAAGCCATGAAAGCAGTGGATATGCAGGATTTCCAATTAACATGAAGGGCGTTTGCATTCCGTTGACGTCAGAAGCGTAATTTGGAATGAGCTGCGATGAATAATTGAACAATCCCGAGTTTTTGAAAACGTCTTCGTCATGGGTGCCTCCTGGGCTTTTTACACTCACATCTCGGAATCTGACAAATTAAACGGTCATTAAAATGTTTCTAATTACTGTTCTCAACTTACAAGTAGTTATTATCTACTACTGCTTGCGTAACTATTGACGGCCATCCCTTTTTGTTTACATAATCTTGATACCCATCATTCGGTGGCAGAATCGGAATATGTGTTCCTAAAAAAAAGATTTTTTAGTATTGACCTTTTTAAAAATTAACGGTTTTACGATCTATTGCACCCACAATATTGGGTAAATTAGTCAATTTTTCAAAAGCTGCAGCAATTTTTTTCGCCTCCTCCAATGCTGGGAAATATAAGAACTCTCTTCGAAGCTGCAGTATTGCTTTAACAACAAGATGAAAGTACTTATGCACTGTGCTTTTATGCACTCCAAATACATCTCCTACAACACGGTACTCGGCGCATGTTGCCAATTTATATAAACATAGTGCGACTTGCTTCGGAATTGGCAAGGGTGGTGTCACAAATACCGCCGGACAAGGAAGATAAGGAGCCAACTTCTCACAAAGCAATTGGAAAGAGTTTTTATCCATGCGGTACGATTCATAATAATGTTGTGCGTTTCCTTCTTGCTCCAGAAACCACATGGAATTATCATGTCGCTCTCTTCGATGTACACTGCGAAATCTGGGAACATTTATTTGAAAGAATATTTCGGGCAGAGCAGTCTGTAATGCCAAAATGTGTCTTGTTGAATTTTTGCCACTCCTTAAATTATCATAAATTTGTTGTTGATGGATTAAAAATTGCTGGCAAACAAGCATCCTTTTTCTTCTCAGTCGATTAACTAAATGATAACACAACGCTTTAATTTCCTTACTTTCTTTATTCATTTTTAACAATTATTTGTCATCACATAAGTGCCTGTAAATTTTTCGACACGCTTTGTATGCAATACACCTCTTGTCTATGTATAAACACCTGACACGAGTTTATTCGATGCCAACCCTGCAGCAATTCAGACTCACCCTAGGTTAGCCCTCAGATAGTCCCTATTGTTACCAGCACTAGTCCATCACATTTCCCCTGCCAATGGTTTCAACTGCCATTTTTAGCATTGGCGTGTCATTAGGAAAGGACCGGTCCAATCAACACTGAGCGTAAGATACTACTGGACTAGTCCAATTTTGGAGATTTTTTTCGTTGGAGTAAGATTGCGTTCTGCACTTCGCAGATGCTTTTTCATAATTCGGAAACACAAAAAAAAATAAATTGTATCATCTTATTCTTATAACCCATGTTGCTACTGACGGCGTTTGAACCCGAACCCTCCCGAAAGCTAACAAATAGTGGCAAGCATCTCTGCGCACTGAGCTACAGCTACCCATGTAAATGTGTGTTCAAATGTTCACTTGTATTAGGGGTCTTCATCTAAAGTGATAAAGATAAATCGCTTAAATTTATCAGTTCCTTCATGAGCGCGTTTTGGTAAATAATTGCAAAAAATTGTTTATTACTTAACTTATGTGGCAAGTTACGTTTCATTATTATCTCGTCCATTTTGCTAATTTGCTTTTTATGTGTTCGTAGCAAAATCGACCACCTGGCAATCTGTCAAGGTTGAGTTTTGTTGAAATTTATAATTTATATTTGATAAAGCGATAAACTTTGGTTAAATGGTTGTCCATGCCAAGTTTTTACTGCTCATTTATCAAAATGATAAACTTATCGTTTTATCAAGTTTATCAACAGTTTATCACTTTTGATGAAGACCCCTATTGAGTCATGTTTCGATATCGTGTTTAGTCAAGAATGATAGAATACAAGATTCAAAAAGCTGATATTTGTTCATAATTATAACAAAATATCTGGTTTTTACGTTCGCTATCACAAAAATCTTGGAAGTAAAGCAGCAATTTATCAGCGAGTAAAACAGCTGATCAATTTCATCTCTTTTCAATTTATAGAAATAAAGAAGTTGTCCTCAATGTTTATTAAGTTCAAAATAACTTAATAGGGCTATCCTCACGTTTGCTCAGAAAATTGATGTGGGTTTACATTAGTTCTGATCCCGTATTCCTCGGACTAAATGTAGTAAAACTGTCAATAAATTAAATTCACTGAGAGTGAGAGAGTAGGTTCGGACACGTACGAGATCGTAACTATTTATTTCGTATTCCTATTATATTTTCAGTCTCATTTTTTTGAATGTTATTAAAACAAAACGGAGTTCACTTGAACTTCCTATGGGAACTAGGACTAAGCGAGATGTTGTAAGAAGAAAGAGATCACAAAATATCTCCTGGTTGCAGTGCATACCTCATCCAATCTCTATCTCTTCTGAATATTATTAAAATGCTGATAAGATGTTCCTAAACCTTGCGAGTTTTACAAATTTTTCGTTCGCATACATTTTTGGATGTTTTCCTAATTGAGAAAATATTGGTTCCTCGCAATTAGCTGTTGGATAATTAGCACTGTAAATATTACCGAACAGACTAAGGTATATCGCTAAGCAGGGTTGCCACTTCTGAAAAATAATTACCATCCACTTGAAAAAACTCTTACAAATCTGGAAAATATCTATAGATATTTTGGTATACCAATATCTTTTTTTAGTTATTTTAATAAAAACTACAGCTTTGTTCTATTTTTTAGTTATTTCAATAAAAGAAAGGTTTTTATTATGGACCTTTAATTAACTTAAGACATGGGCCCATAGTCATAAGTTAAAACTTATTCTTGTTAAAATAAAGCTTTAAGTTTAGAATAGATTTTTAAGTAGTGTCAATCATAGAAATAGCTTTTTGTTAAGATGAGAGAGAACAGCTATCGGCAATATAAAGAAATATGAGTACCTTAATTAGTTCATCCTGTGTTCGCTGCAGGATTGCGGATTTAGCAATCCGGGAAGTCGTAGGTTCGAATTCCACTGCCAGGAATAATTTTTTTAAATCTTTTTTTGTTCTTTTAAATATTATATTATTTTTTAAATTAAAATTGAACTCCAAAAAAATGTATTAACTTGGAAGTAATTATGTGAAATACCATAAACAAAAGGAAATAGTAGAATAAAATTTAATATAATAAATTAAAATAATGCTTAAAAAATAAAAAGTAATAAAATAAAAAAAAAATATTGTTTGGAATTGCTCGGAGAGAGGACCGAACCTGGGTGCTATTGCGTTTACCACTTCAACAACAAAACTAAACTTAAGGACCTTATTTTACCTTTTTAAAATCGCCTTCTCATTTTAAATTTTTTGTCATAAAATGCAGTTAAAATGGTCAATGTTTTTCAAGTACATTAAAACGCCAAAAAATTACGTCTAAATTTCAAACTTTTTACTCTGAGTTATTAGGACAATTTTGGGTATGCATTTTTAAAACCCATGGAATTTAAAAACAAAAATCCTGTTGATTTTTAAACAATTTTTTGCCG